CCTGGCAGAAGAATTAATCAAGCTTGCCACAGAGTAAAGGGAGTTTACAAGGTCTAAGACATCATGCATTACACAAAAGTTATATAAATCAGCCGGGCTTGGTGGCTCAGCCTGTAATCCCATGCTTTGAGAGGCTGAGGTGAGTGGATTGCCTGAGCCTGCGGGTTCGAAACCCACCTGGGCAACTTAGCAAGACCTCATCTAAACAATAAATCAAAAATTAGCTGGGCATGGTAGTGTGCACCTGTAGTTCTGGCTATTTGGAAGGCTGAGGTGGAAGGATCGCTGGAGCCCAGCAGGTCGAGGCTGCAATGGCCGGGAGCATGCCACTGCACTCCAGTCTGGGTGACAGAGCGAGACTCCAATTAAAAAAAAAAAATTATATAAATCACAAACTTATGATTATATTGGTACAAAAGTTATACAAATCACAAGACTTACAATTACACTGATACTATATAATTCAAACTTATGACCACTCAGAAAAAGGGAGCAAATGGGAATTTGAATCTTTAACTTAATTGGGTTTAGACTACAGAGAAGTCAAGGATCCCCTGAAGCTACTTACTGTGAGTGCATAGGGGATAAGGGAAAGCATATCTTTTATTAGTTCTCAGAAATATTGTTCAGGAATGTACAGGAGCACTTGTACCCTTCCCATGTCCTCTAGGAGCTGTGGCAATATGGGATCCACTGAGTTCCATTGGGAGCTTGCCAGTGGGTCTCTGTATCACCTCCAGATGCCAGATACTGATTTCAACTTCTGAGGCACCATTCTTACCTTAACGGGTGGTGACTATGCCATATCCCACAACCTATACAACCTTGACCACAACTGGCTGCTGAAAGATGTAACCTTGTCCATGGCACTTCCTATCCATGGGTTTCAGGTCTGGGAGATCAGAAAGCAAAGGGACTGGCCCATTTGTACCTCAGGGGTCCTTAGGACAGCACAGATGCCTTTTAGCAAAATCCCCTGGGATCAGAACATCAGATGCCCCAGGCCTGGTAATCAAGGCTCCAGCCCACCTATAGCCCTGGATGAAACATGTAGACTTGGGCTTTCAGTCCTACCTTCAGACCTTGGAGGCTGGACCTACAATAATCCTTAAGGCCTGAATGCTGTTAACCCTCTGCATATCCTGCAGTCTTCTCAGTTTGACTCAAGAACTGAATATCTAGGCTGAATGCAATTCTTTATGCCTGTAATCTCAGCACTTTGCAGGCTGAAGCAGGAGGATAACTTTAGGCCTGGGCAACAGAATAAGACCCTGTTTCTATAAGTAAATAAAAAAATAAAAAATTTAAAATAAAAGAATGGGACATCTGGTCACCCCACTCATGAAAGGGACATCTTATTCACATGAGAGACCAGATTGGTTGACACAACTCAACTCGCCAGACACTAATTGCCATTTTTATTTCCAGTGTCAGAACTCTTGCTTCAGAAACAAAGACTGGTTGGCCTCAGTGGCTCAAGCCTGTAATCCCAGTACTTCAGGAGGCTGAGGCGAGAGGATTGACAGACCTTAGGGGTTAGAGACCAGCCTGGGCAACTTGGTGAGACCTCGTTTCTACAATAAAAAAATAAAAAAATAAAAAAATAAGCCAGGTGTGATAGCGTGAGCCTATAGTTCCAGTTACTTGGAAGACTGAGGCAGAAGGATCACATGAGCCCAGTGGGTCCAGGCTATGGTGGGGGTGAGTGTGCCACTGCATTCCAGCCTGGGCGACAGAGTGAGACTCTGGGGGAAAAAAAAAGTGACTGATGTTTAAACAAGTAAAAATAAATAAATACACAATTTTTAATAAATTTCAGGGTTTTTGGGTCCCCCTTCGTATGTACACTGCCTGACCTTCAAATAGAACTGGAAGTATTGTACAGTGGAACCGAATTCAAATTGATAAAGAAAGTAATATTTTTCAGATCTTTTTTATTGAACCAAGGTTAAAGTAATCCGTCTTGGATGCTATGCCTCTAAAATTTCTACTTTAGCCGGGCTCGGTGGCTCAGCCTGTAATCCCGTGCCTTCGGGAGGCTGAGGTGAGTAGATTGCCTGAGCCCGCGGGTTTGAGACCCGCCTGGGCAGCGAGACCTCATCTCTACAATAAATCAAAAAATCAGCCGGGCGTGGTAGCGCATGCCTGTAATTCCGGCTACTTGGAAGGCTGAGGCGGAAGGATCACCGGAGCCTAGCAGGTCGAGGCTGCGGTGGCCGGGAGCGGCCACTGCACTTCAGTCTGGGCCACAGAGTGAGACTCCAACTCAAAAAAAAATAAAAATTAAAAAATTAAAAAATAAAATTTCTACTTTATCTGTTCCCCACATGTAAGAGTGTAAATCCTGCCCTTAGGCCAAGGCAACCTTGATGTTATGGAAATGCCTACTTCCCATAAATCCATCCCTGACTGTGACAGCATTCTTGCCTTTCTCCTGAGGGGTGAACTTCAACTGTCCTACACATATTCCTTCTATAGCACGTGGTCTATAAGCCCTGGGTCTGGAATAGTCACGCTCTGCCAACACACTGGACTTGTCTGGCTCATCCTTTGGTTTCTCAGCTTTTTCTGCTTTGAGGGTTGCTTTGCATATACAGCTCTTTCATAAAACACATCATACACTATAATGTATTTTTAGAAGTTATCCTTTTGGCCGGGTGCGGTGGCTAAAGCCTGTGATCCCAGCACTTTGGGAGGCTGAGGTGAGAGGTTTGCCTGAGTTCAGGGGTTTGAGACCAGCCTGGGCAACTTGGTGAGGACTCGTCTCTACAATAAATCACAAAAACTAGCCAGGCATGGTAGTGCATGCCTATAGTTCCAGCTACTTGGAAGGCTGAGGTGGAAGGATCGCCAGAGCCCAGCAGGTCGAGACTGTGGTGACCTCAGCAGTGCATGGGCGAGAGTGAGACGCCAACTCAAAAAAAAAAAAAAAAAAAGTTATCCTTTCAAATGAAGGGAGAAAATTGAGAATAAGAACAATAAACTCTGAGGTTTTAGGTTAATATATAATTTATAATAAAATGAGAAATTTTATGTCTATATAAAAACAATGCAGATATATATGAAAACTTAAAAATATGAAAATAATAGCATCATTAGAATATATTCAGTGATTACATGCTGTTAAATTTCCTTACAACTTTTTGTATGTTTCCAATAGTCAAAGGGAAAAAAAACATTTATAAGTGAAGAATATTCAGTATTAATGAATATATCCATTAATCATTCCCTTATTTGCCAGGTGTGGTGGTTCATGCCTGTAATTCCAAAATCTTTAGGAGGCAGAGACTGGATACCAGCAGTTCAAGACCTGACTGGGCAACATAGTGAGACTCTGTCTCTACAAAAAAACAAAAAATAGCCAGATGCAGCGGTGCAAGCCTGTAATCCTATCACTTTGGGAGGCCGAGGTGAGGATTGTTTGAGACCAGGGGTGAGACCTCATCTCTACAATATAAAAAAAAATTAGCCAGGTGTGGTTGCGCACACATTTAGTTCCAGCTACTTGAAAGGCTGAGGAAGGCCGGGCTTGGTGGCTCAGCCTGTAATCCCAGTGCTTTGGGAGGCCAAGGTGAGTGGACTGCCTGAGCTCGAGGGTTCAAGACCTGCCTGGGCAACTTGGTGAGACCTCATCTCTACAATAAATCAAAAATTAGTCGGGCGTGGTAGCACGTGCCTGTAGTTCCAGCTACTTGGAAGGCTGAGTCCAGCAGGTCGAGGCTGCGGTGGCTGGGAGTGGCCACTGCACTCCAGTCTGGGTGACAGAGTGAGACTCCAACTCAAAAAAAAAAAAAAAAAAAGACGGAGGAGCAAGGATCACCTGAACCCAGCAAGTCCAGGGTGCGGAGGCTGTGAGTGTGCCACTGCACTCCAGCCTGGGAGACAGAGTGAGACTCTGACTCAAAAAAAAAAAATTCTCTTATTTGTGGATGCTGAGGTAGTTTCCAGTTCCCAATTCAAACCCTCAGAACTTGGAGCGCTCAGTCTTTTAAGTTTATATCATCAGGAAATATAGTATCCTCACAAATTTCAAGTTTGCTTTCCTATCTTGCCAGAGAGAAGAAATGCGGATGTGTCTCTTGTAGTTTTGTTTTTTTTTTTTTGCCTTGGTTAGGTGAGAGTGTGGATTTTCCAGACTGTAGAGGACGTGACAATTGCAGGCAGGAAGTCATATTTGTCAGGAAAATGCTTTGGCTCAGAAGGATCCAGCAGACGCTGAATGCTGCCCGAGGCATTATAGAGCTCGGAAACAATCCTTTACTTGGTGAGATAAGTGCAGGAGCTAACTACTGCCCACACACAGTGCCTTCCCCAGCATTCGTCTCGCTTAGCCAAGATGTCCTGGTTGTTCACCATCCTAAATTGTGCTGATTCTGCACCGAGAGGAAAGTGAGGAAGCCTGGACCAGGGTCATGAGAATGATTTTCTTCCTCCTGGAGTTCAGGCCTTGGTGAGCCTTGCAGCCTGTGGAGCAGAATCTGAACAGATTCCTCATTCAGGGGTGGTTGGGGTCCTGGAGGGTCCTCTTCCTGCAGATCAGGATTCAGAGGTTGTGCCTTTTACTGAAAATCTGTGTGGGCCGGGTGTGGTGGCTCAAGCCTGTAACCCCTCCACTTTGGGAGGCTGAGGAAAGAGGATTGCCTGAGCTCAGGGGTTCGAGACAAGCCTGGGCAACTTGGTGAGACCTTGTCTCTACAATAAATCAAAAAATTAGCCGGATGTGAAAGTGCATGCCTGTAGATGCAGCTACTTGAAAGGCTGAGGCGGAAGGATCACCTGAGCCTAGCAGGTCGATACTGTGGTGGCCGTGAGTGTGCCACTGCACTTCAGCCTGGGCGAAAGAGTGAGACTCTGACTAAAAAAAAAGAAGACGAAAAAGAAAATCTGAATGGCAGAAGTTGATTTAAAGGTTTGAGGTCTCTACGTATTGGTGGTGCGGTTGGCCGAGTGGAGACAAGATGACTCCAGCTGACTGTGCCTGCAGCTGCCACAAGTCTGTCTCAGTGTATCCCTTTGAGAGGGCTCCATTCTGCAATCAGAGCCTGGCAGATCTCATCCCACCACTGCAAAATGTAAGCTATGTTCATCTGTCCCAGATCCTGAGGTGGCTGTTCTTTGTGCTCAGGCTGTGTCTGAGTATCGGAGAAGTTCTCTCCCAGAGTTGGTAGTATCGGCAAGTGATTTCTTAGTATCAGAGGGTGGTTAGAATTTTCTCCTTCCTGCACAGCCTGTGTGGCACTTGGTCCTTGGCTTACACAGACCATGGAGGGATCCCAAGGAACAAAGGACATGTGGGATGGAGATGTTTGGTTCCTGCTGAAAGAATTGGAGGAAGAAAAATGATCAGACCTATCTGGAGGAGAGAACAGGTCGATTTGATGCTCCTTAACAGACATATCTAATCCCTCATTTGGACCATCTACCATTGAATCCACTGGATCCCTTCTGCTCTGCTCTGGATGTAGATTTCTTTGGTTCTGAAACCACATCTAAGTAAGAAAAAGGGAGACATGGACATCATAAGACATAATAAATTCTAGCTTTGCTTTTCATACTCTGTAAAGCAAAAGAGCTATTAACAGAAGGCCTAATCACAGGGTGATTTTATATAGAGTCAGCCCTCTGACTACATGGATTCTTTATCCTCAAATTCAACCAACCGTGGACTTAAAAAAAAAAAAAGGACAAACCCAAAAAACAATGCAGCAATAAAAAGAATGTAAATAAAAACATAGTAGAACAGCTATTTATATAGCATTTACATTAGTTTTTCTTTTTTCTTTTTTGAGTTGGAGTTTTGCTCTGTCACCCATGCTGGAGTACAGTGGCATGCTCATGGCTACCGCAACCTTGACTTGCTGTGCTCAGGCGATCTTTCTACCTCAGCCTTCCAAGTAGTTGGAACTATAGGTGCATGCCACCATGCCGGGCAATTTTTTTGATTTATTGTAGAGACGAGGTCTTGCCAAATTGCCTAGGCTGGTCTCAAACCCTTGGGATCTGGCAATTCACTCACCTTGGCCTCCCAAAGTGCTGGGAATTAGTGGTGTGAGCCACCATGTCCAACCATATTAGATATTTTTTTAGTAATCTAGAGATGATTTAAAGTATACAAGAGGATATACATAAATTATATGCAAATACAACACCATTTTATATCAGGAACCAGAGCATCTCCAGATTTTGGTATTTGGGATAGGTCCTGGAACCAACTCTTCATGGATACCAAGGGAAGACTGTATATGAAAATCATATCTATTTTATACTTAAAATAATTCTTGCTGGGTGCGGTGGCTCATGCCTCTAATTCTAGCTCTTTGGGAGGCTGAGGTGACAGGATTGCCTGAACCCGTGGGATTGAGACCAGCCTGGGCAAGTTGGCAAGACCTCATCTACAAGAAATAAAAAAGTAGCCAGGCATGGTGGCATATGCCTGTAGTTCCAGCTACTTAGAAGGCTAAGGTGGAAGTATCACCTGAGCCCAGCAGGTCTAGGCTGCTGTAGCCGTGAGTGTGCTACTGCACTCCAGCCTGGGTGACAGAGTGAGACCCTGACTCAAAAACACCCAAAAATTCTTGTTCATGTGTTCAGTATGCATATACACACATAGAGATGTAACACACTGAGCAATCAACTATAGGTGAATTGAAACTGTCTGAAAAGGTATATGCTCCCGAATTCTGCCTGTAATTGCAACAGTGGATCAGCAAACAAGGTCTCTTGACCAAGCTGACATTGTTTTCCCTTTTTGCCATTGTTTGCATAAGAATTCAGTTTATGTACACATGTATAAATATGATCAAGAGTTAATAAACACAAGTACTTGAAACCTTCTGTTTTATAAGCCTATGAACGTGCTTCCTAAGTTATGAGCACTTAACATATACTAAATCACCATCCCTATAACTTATGTTGAAGTACTCAGTGGGGACAATTTTGTCCTTCAGTTGGAAGACATCTGACTGTGAATTTTGAGGTTGTCACAAATAGAAGAGGGAGGTGGGCAGGAGCTTTACTGGTATCTAGTTGGTAGAGGCTAGGAGCGCTAACAATATCCTACCATCCACAGGAATAGCCTCTCACAAGAAAAAATTATGCAGCCCTGCCAAGGTTGTAGAAAACCTAACAGGAACCGGGCTCGGTGGCTCAGCCTGTAATCCCGCACCTTTGGGAGGCTGAGGTGAGTGG